CAAATGTGACGTGTGGTTGTCGAATTGGTAAATCTTATGTCTTTAACGCTTGGGATACAAAGTTCAAACCCACCCGTGCCAGTGAATTTTTTTGCTTTTTTTTCTTGATTATTTTTAAGTTAGAAAAAAATTCAAAGTTTCTTTGATTTATCTCATTAAAATTCGATAAATATTAAGGACCCCGTCACTGTAGCCTTCCCTCGTGAGAAGGAATTCCTTATTCATATTTAAATTATTTTACTATATAAATTTTTTTGAGACTATTATTTATTTTCTCAGCTCTCACTTGACCTAATTTTATGATAAAAATGTAAACAAATATTGAGCTTTTCCGATAAACTTACTGTTAATAGTAATTTTAAAATTTTCTGACAGCATATTAATATTAACATTAACATTTTTTCAGTTATCATAAAAATGTCTATTTAATGATGTCAATTTCAAACTTGGAAGTTTAACTAAAAGTTACAATAACAAATTCAACTTTTTTTTACTATAAACTCCACAAAAATCAACTTTAAAGTATTAAAAAAATAAGTTAAATATGTCATTTTCATTATTTTTAACATATTAAAAATCAAAATCAGTAATAATTTCAAAAAAATTTTTTTATATGTGATTAATCATTTTTTATTAAATAGTAATAATAAAAAACAGATGGAGGGATGTTACTGAATGCGATATGAGGACAGTTGATGTTTGCTTAGATTATGTGGGAAATTGTTTTAAGTGAAAGTTTAGGATAAGGGTGGCTTAGCCCAAGTGTTTGAAATTGAGACAAGAAAAGAGAAGAAAAAAGAACGCAAAAATAATAGGAATAAAGTTAAAGTTACATCAATATTTCTGAATTACAAATTTAGTTTACTTCACCTTAATTATGACATAAAAAAAGTTAAGAAATCATAAAACATTTTTTTATAATACCAATTGTATGTCACCAAGTTTATATTACTTACATCCTCTTTTTAAAGTAATATAAATATTTTGAAGAATCTCTTAATGATATTTGTCTATGAATATTATTATAATAAGTGTCATTCTACAACGTATGATGATTGTAATATTGAAACTATAACTTAAATATTATCAATTTTGATAAGGGTCAGCGTTGAAGAACTTAGGCGACACAAGGTTTTAATTATTAATTGACATTACAGTGGTTTACAGTGGAGCGGCAGCTGAGAAGGAGCTGATACGACCGCGATTTGTCAAAAGGGATGACAACGCCGTGGCCGTGTAAATGACATAAATATTTCCTATTAATTGATTTCACATTGCTCAAAATAAAATTAAAATTTTTAAATTTATAAACTAAATGGATAATCTTTAACTTTAGCAAATTATTTAAATCAACTTGAATCATTTATTAAAAAATAATATAATTATATTTCTAAAATATTACCTAAACGCTGATGCAATGAAAGGAAATAAAGGTAATATTAACTATAAAGTATTCTATAAATTACTGATATATATTTATGCCGCAATTAATTTCTTCAAAACTTCTTTTGTAAACACGCAATGCCTCATTAATTCCGAAAAATGAACAAAAATAAAATTCATATTTAAAAATAAAATAATTAAAAAAAACTGTAGCATAATGGGGTCGCGGCAAAGTATGGACGTGGCATAGTTGGGACAAGTATAGATAATATCTGACAGTGATTAAAATCACAATCATAAGAAACGCTTCGATGCAAATCTGTAGATAGTGTTTAATTTTAAGAAATTGGTAGATCATATCAAAAACCACAATAACTCTTATTCCCTTGATTTTATCCCGATTAGTTATTTGATTTATAATTGTTATATATGAATAAAAAACAACTTAAGTCATTTATTTTATTATGAAATTGACATTCAATAATCTAATATTTTATTGATACTATTTTAAAAATAAAAAATAAAAAACATAAAATTGTGTTTCTGGCTCTCCTGAAAAGTATAAATAATGTTGCATTCAGCAAATAGTCTTTTAATAAACAATATAAGGGACAAGAGATGGACCTAAAAATATTTAACCTATTATAAATCAAAAATTAAATAATTCTCAGCAAAATAGAAATAAATTATTTTAGGACTAATTTAGTGCTCAACGATAAATACTGTCTATATGAAAGGACTAATTTTTTATACTTTAATTGACTTTTTTTAAATAACATTTTTCTGTGGAAATAGTATCCAGCATTCGTAAGGCTAGTTCTTACATTTTTTTAAATGGTAACACATATTTTTAATTCAATAGTAAATGGTATTTGAATTTTTAATGAAACTTAATTTGTTTATTAGATATAAACATTTAAAGTTTCAAATTTTTGAGTTAATATATAGGTATAATACACAAGGGATTACAAATATAGGTAGCTAATTGATTTTTTATGATATTGCTATCACAGTCACGGATTGTTTATTATCAATTATGACTATCAATAGATATACTTTTTGTATTGTCAGTTAGTGTATTTATAAACTCACAACAATGTACCTTACTATCATTGATAATAACAATGCTGTGTACCTGCTAATATCGATGTCATAAAAAATCAATTAGCTACCTGTATTTGTAATCCCTTGTGTATTATACCTATATATTAACTCAAAAATTTGAAACTTTAAATGTTTATATCTAATAAACAAATTAAGTTTTATTAAAAATTCAAATGCCATTTACTATTAAATTAAAAACTCAAACATTTTATTAAATTAAAAATATGTGTTACCATTTAAAAAAACAAAGTTGACACCCTTACCAGGCATAAGGGATGAACTTATAAAGTATTACATAGTTAATAATTCAAGAATAATGTGTAACTAAAGATAATAATAAAAAAAAAATGTATAAATTATTATTATTCTGTAAGTAATTGAGTGGGTTATGATAAAAAAATCAGCCTGTATTGTTTCTGTTGGATAGGGAAATTGTTGTGCTTATTCTTTGATATTATTATTCCTTAAATTTAAGTTTTATTTTAATTTAATTTAATTAAATTTAGTTAAGTAAATCTCGTTGTTGTTGCCTCACCACTACCACAACACATTTAGTATTATAACAATTCTAAAAAAACATTAAATAATCCATCGTTGTCCTTATTAATTTAATTGATAATTTAATAGTTTAATTTAATTATAATTATTATATTAATTTTATTGATTTTAACAAAACAAAGATATGCATAATGTTTAGTTTAATTTTTTTCAAATAATTATTGCCTCTTGTAATAAATAAAAAACAAATTCCTTATAATCAATCTCGAATAAGAATAAAATGTTAATTAAATTTTTTTTTAAATTTTAAAAAAACCTATTTTTAGCTCTACTCTTACAAAAAAGGCTGATGTGGTGTCAATATCAATTTTAGGACAAGTACTCATTGAGTTACAAACGGATACATCTCGTACTGGTATACGTATAGTTCGTCCGTGTCCATTATACAAATAGCATTTCTTGTCAAATACAGTAATACTAGTTAGCATTGATTTTGTAGCTTATATCCAAAAGCTGAGATGTCACAATAATGGGTTTAAAGGTATTTTAATAAGTTATACATGGCTGAATAAAATAAATATCTTCTCAACTACGCATCGAAGCTAATATTTAAATTTTACTACTTAAGACTTGTACCAAAAACTATTATATTTAAATACATTTTTTTACTTCACATTACAGTAATATTTATTTTAAAGTTAGTAAATTATTAAAAATTACATCAGTGTAATTGAAAATCAATGAATACAATGTTTATCGTAAAGTTCAAAATCAAGTATTGATATAAGAAATTTGACTCTTGGAGGGTACTAAAATGATTTCTTTTGAGTATAAGACTGGAATTATGTAAATTACTATTATTGAACTTTTCATTTTTAAATAAATGTAAAATTTATAAAAATAACTGGGAGTGCAAATTTTTGAATAGGGGAGTATTAAAAACTGATTGATACTGTTGTATGTTCACCTACAGGGAAAGGCATTTGTCTAAAACTCTATTGTTTAAGATTCATTTATCATTTTCGCATTAACTTTTTTAAAAAATTTTTCAACATTAGTTCTATGAATTTTTCTGTTAAAACACTGTTTTAAGAACAAAAATTGACGAAACCAAATTTTTTTTTATTTAACGTGACTTAAAAATATTATTAGGATATGCAAATAAAATAGATGACAAAAAGAATTTATGACATTTAACAGACATACCGTTTGGTATTTCTGTCCAAATAATAAGATTGGCGGATCATTTTAGGCAATTACAAGTACAAATAAACCAAGAGTGGCACAGAATCTACAATAAATTGAAAATAAAATTTAAATAAACTTAAAGCAATAATAATAATGAAATACAATAAATTATTGGATGTAGGGATTACAATTTTTTATAATTGTAGAATATTTTAAATAATAGTTAAAAAAATCCGTAATAAGATATATATATATCATTTGGAGAATGCAATTTTGAAATTTTATATATTACATTATAAGAGGGTTCAAAATTGTAACGTTTACCAAATTGTTTATTGTTCAGTTGTGCCTTGTAGAATAATACTTTTATCAGTATATCACTTAATTTGTATAGTGTGCTATCTAAAAAATACAATAATATAATAAAGTATATGAATTATTACAATAATTGTTAAATAATTACATTCATCATAAATTTCTTTCTTTAAATTAACTACAGAACTTTTGAGATTTTCATTGTCATTTTCGTTCTGTGTTACTACCTAAAATATGCAAAATAGTATATTGTAATACATTTATTAAATACCCTTATTTTTAATGTTAGAGAAATAAAGGGAACTGGTCCGATTTAAAAAAAAGTATGTTGTACAAAATAAAAATATAAATAGTAATTCTTTAAAAAAATTATTATGATCCATACATTTTTCAAAAAGTTATAACAATTTAATATTAACATTTAAGGAAAATGGTTCGATTTAAAAAAAAAGTATGTCGAATGAAAGAGGTATATAAATGTCATTTTTCATTTAACTATTGTATTGATTTATNGAAATAGGTATATAAATGTCATTTTTCATTTAACTATTGTATTGATTTATACATTTTTTAAAAATTTATAGAAATTTAAAGTTAAAAATGTAAAATATAAAATCGAGAATTTTAACACAAAAATAGTAGCCATTTTCACCTTGAAGTCAAAATGTAGTTCGAAATTTTTATTTTTATATTAAAGTATATTAAATAAACTTTTATTTAAGATATATATAAAAATGTCAGTATTTCCGGAACATTTTCAAAATTTAAGTTGAAAAAGTTAGGTTTTTGTGAAAAAGTTGTCATTTTGAATTCAACCTTTGGGCAGGTAAAAGGTCAGACTTATAAAAAAAATATACCAGATGATAGGTAAGGACATCAAGCATCGATAAAAAAAAAAAATTATATTGATTTAGTCTTTTTTGAAAAAGTTTTAGCAGTTTTAAGTAAAAAAAAACGGTAGCACAGTGGGATCGAGGCACAGTGTGGACGAGGCATAGATGGGACAAGTATAGATGATATCTGATAGTGATTAAAATCACTATCATAAGAAACGCTTCGATGCAAATCTGTAGATAGTGTTTCATTTAGAGAAATTTAGAGAATTTGGTGGATTTTTTCAAAAACAAAATCAACTCTTATTTCTTTAATTATATCCTGATTAGTAGTTCTTTGTTTTTTAAATATAATGTTGTAATAGTCCCTTCACACAACCGAACAAAATGTTTTTCTGTTATTCTTTCATCTTCTACCCACACACCAATAAATTACAAAACACAATCAACACTTTCTATCACTGACTGCAGATACACACACAACTCACACAATCACGCCATGCACACACATCCGTTCCTTCCCCACATGTACAATCCCGTAGTTTTACAAAATCCTTCTACAATGTCAGCCAAATAGTAACAAAGAATCTAAATAAATGTAAGGCTGATGTTCATGTACGTGTCTGGAAGGGGACTTTGGAAGGNGTACGTGTCTATAAGGGGACTTTGGAAGGACACCAAAGGACTCCATGGGCTCGTCTGACACGGCCTGTTTCGATCGTACTCCGGAAAGAACACGTCCAGTTTTATAAGTAAACTCCGCATTTTTTCTCTGTATCGTTTATGTAATATTGACAATATTTGAATTAGTGTGTACAAATATTTTATTTAAGTTTCATGTACTATTTCTAAAAACCATACGAATCACTTTTGTGTATTTTGTGTAATAAGTGACAATAATTATATCATTTGATATCAACTTGTTTTGTGTTGAAATTATTATTACATAAATCCTGTCTTCGGCATTAGGGGTAACATAAATATTCAGGTAACACTATTTGAACTCAACCTGTATGCTTTATTTTACAACGATAGACCCTCAATCCATACGCCCGAGTGAAGAGTCAGATCCCGCGTATTTCCCCTTTCATTTCAATCCTAAATCCCCCCTTTTCTCTTTTCTTATTTTTGTTTTACAACAATAATATATGAATAAATACTATTTATAGTTTTTAAATTCAGTATGAAATTGTGAGGCCAGCTATGATGTATGGTTCATAGTGTTGGGCGGTTGATAAGAAAGTAGAGCAGAGAATAAGTGTAGCAGAGATGAGAATGCTTAGATGGATGAGTGAAGTGACTAGAATAGGGAACGAGCATATAAGAGCGAGTATAGGTGTTGCGTCAATCGTGGATAAGATGACAGAAAATAGACTTAGATTGATTAGTCATGTTATGAGGAGAGAAGAATTGGAATCTTTAAGAACAGTTATAGAAATGAATATTAAAGGAAGAAGAGGTAGAGGAAGACCAAAAAAGAGATTGAGGGTTGTTATTGAATGCGACACGAGGACAGCTGATGTGAGCGTAGAAGATGTGGGAGATCGTGTCAAGTGGAAGCTTAGGATAAGGGTGGCCGACCTCAAGTAGTTGGGATTAAGGCAAAGAAAAAGAAAAAGATTACCAGAAATTCCGTTGGCAATTGACATAATATAATTGTTATTTGGGAATGTACAATTTAGTGTTAAGTTGGGCTTAAACAATATAGTGTCAAATCAATTACCTACTCTATCGCTTGTATATTAATATACACTACACTTTAATGATACACTAAATAAATAAACTCACACATACACACATATGCATTTATAACATTGTGTCTAACGTAAGTGTAACATGATAAAAAGTAACCGTAAAATGAAAAAAATGGAA